AAGTAAAAATTACAGATTTCAAACACTAATCGGAATATAAAAAATTACTCATAAAAAGTACTCAATTACAGTAACGTGAGTAAATGTAATTCATTACTTTCCACCCCTGACTAATACAAGCAGAAGCTGCAGCATGGGAGCGTGAAGCACAGTCTGCAGAGGGTGATAATCTCCTCTAATGAGCCAAATTTTCCATTTTCTGACACATTGGTTTCCGACCTTTTTGTCTTATGTACCCCCTGGGTCAAACACATTGATTATTTTCCAAAACTAGAAAGTACAACTGATTTTAAAATGCTAAATATCTTTACTTTCCTTAAAGTCGCAGTAAATGGCATAAATGGCAAAAGGCACACAAAGCTGAATCACCAGCATTTCTATGGTTTTGTTAAACCATTTCTGAAGGCGGTATCTCCCCAAGAACTCAGCATAAACAACCATTAAAGATAACTCTTTAATGCTGATCACTATTTTGTTTAGATATTATATCGTTTTAAGTAGTAGTCTGCCTCCAACATTCGACCCGTTCCAGTTCGCCTACCGACGGAACCGCTCCACTGAGGACGCCATCTCTGCTGCTCTCCACCTGAGCCTGGCACACCTGGAGGAGAAGAACACCCAGGTGCGGATGCTGTTCCTGGACTTCAGTTCAGCTTTCAGCACCATCATCCCACAGCATCTGATGGGCAAACTGGGACAGCTGGGATTTAATACACCCCTCAAGCCAGCCATCAGCGCCACAATCATGACACAGTCCTGATTAGTTGTTGAAATATCAGCCATTTTAAATGTAAAAAAAACATCCATCTTCCTCCGCTTATCCAGGGTCGGATCGTAGGGGTAGCAGCTTCAGTAGGGAGGCCCAGACGTCCCTCTCCTCAGCCACTTGGGCCTCCAGGAGGAGGGAGACACTGGAGGTGTTTTTCACCAATCTGATGGTAGCGGCAGAGACATATGATATGCATGAGTTTTCACATTAGCCATCATGTTTCTTTCCTATTCTTCGCTGTTTCCGGCGTTTTATTAAAACATATAAATATTGGCTGTATGAAATGCAATGTTTTTGTTATTCTTTCAGTGTTTCTGCTTCTTTTCAGATTTATTTCTGTTCTCCAGGTCCTGATATGAAGACAAGGGCTGAATATAACAAATGTTCTCAGTAACCCGTGTTGCATCGTCCTGCTGTGAATTGAGCTAAAGATAAATAAACTGATCCTGAAAGATAAAGTTTGTTCTAAAATAAAAGGCTTAAAGCGATACATCTCTCCCATATTTAGCCACACCAATCTAATTTATGCAATTCAATTTAATTTAATTCATTTATGCAGCGCAAATTTACAGCTCACGTCATCTTAAATCAC